AACAGACAGTGAGGCCCAATGTTTCTCCTTGGGGTGCCCGGTACTATTAGTAAAGAAGGATGGTGGAGCCCATTTGTGTGTTGATTATCGGCAACTGAATAATTTGACAATAAGGAATAAGTATCCACTTCCGAGGATTGATGATTTGATGGATCAGTTGAGGGGAGCTTCAGTGTTTTGATGATTGATTTGAGATCCAGATACCATTAGATCAGGGTAAAGGAGAGTGACATACCAAAGACTGCTTTCAGGAATAGGTATGGTCGCTGTGAGTACGTAGTGATGCGTTTCGGTGTCACTAATGCTCCAACAGTGTTCATGGATTACATGAACAAGACTTTTAGGTCATTCTTGGACAGGTTTGTGGTGGTCTTCATTGATGATATATTGGTGTATTCGAGATCTTTGGAGGATCACCGTGAGCATCTGAGGTTGGTTTTAGAGGTACTAAGGGAGAGGTAGTTATATGCCAAGTTGTCCAAGTGAGTTTTGATTGTCTGAGGTGAGATTTGGAGCATGTGATATCGGCAGAGGGGATTGTAGTGGATCCAGCCAAGATGGAGGTTGTGATTCAGTGGGAGCGTCCGAGGACTGTTACGGAGATTAGGAGTTTTGTTGGGTTAACGGGTTACTATCAGAGATTCATTGAGGGTTTCTCTTGAATAGTAATGCCTTTGACTTAACTAACTCGGAAGGATCATCTTTTTATTTGGATGGACGCTTGTGAGCAGAGTTTTCAAGAATTGAAGGGGTGATTGACTACTTCTCCAGTTTTGGGTTACTTGACACTGGTGAGTATTTTAATGTGTTCAGTGATGCTTCTCACCAGGGGTTGGGCTGTGTGTTGATGCAGGAAGGGAGAGTAGTAGCGTATGCTTCGAGGCAACTTAAGACTCATGAGAGGAATTATCCTACTCATGATTTGGAGCTTGCAGCTGTGGTGTTTGCCTTGAAGTCGTGGAGGCACTATCTGTATGGTGCGAGATTCAGTGTATTTAGTGATCAGAAGGAGTTGAATATGAGGCAGAGAAGGTGGATGGAATTCCTAAAGGACTTTGATTTTCAGTTGATGTATCATCTTGGGAAGGCGAGTGTGGTAGCAGATGTATTGAGTAGGAAATCCATTCTTGTGTCGGTTATGATGATTAGGGAGTTGGAACTAATTGAATAGTTCAGAGATTTGAGACTAAAGGTGGAGGTTGTTCAAGATCACATTAGTTGTGGTATGATCACCATAACTAATGAGTTCTTGAGACAGGTGGGAACTAAGCAATTACAGGATCCATAGTTATTGAGGATTTTGGGATTGCTTGATACCGAGAGGGCAAATGATTTTGAGCTTTGTGTTGATGGAGATTCCCGAGTGGAATTGTGATAGTGTCACTAAGGACTTTGTGGTTGGGTTGCCTAGGACAGCTAGGAATAATGACTCTATCTGGGTGATTATTGATAGGTTGACAAAGTGTGCCCACTTTCTTTATGTCAAGAGGTGGTCCTTGGAGAGTCTTGCACAGTTGTATATTAGAAAGATAGTACGATTGCATGGAGTGCCTTCCAGTATTATCTCTAACAGAGATCTAAGGTTTACTTCCAGGTTGGCAGACTCTGCATCAGGCTTTGGGGACGAGGTTGAGGTTGAGCTCTGCTTATCATCTACAGACAGATGGTCAGTCAGACAGGATAATTTAGTCATTGGAGGATCTCTTGAGAGCTTGTGTTTTGGATCATCTAGGTAGCTGGGAGGAGGTGTTACCATTGGTAAAGTTCACTTATAATAACAGTTATCACTTGAGTATTGGCCTGGCGCCTTTTGAGGCTTTGTATGGCGGAGGTGTAGGACTACATTATGTTGGTATCAGGAAGGTGAGTAAGTCGTCGTTGGTAAAGAGTTAGTTCTTTAGACTATTGAGATGGTGAGATAGATTCAGGAAAGGTTGAGGGCTACCTAGAGTCGACAAAAGTCCTAGCTAATAGGAGGAGGAAACCTCTAGAATTTTAAGAGGGAGAGCATGTGTTTCACGTTTCACAGTTGAGGAAGTACATCAGAGACCCGAGTCAAGTGGTAGAGATGGATGAGGTGCAAGTTAGAGAGAACTTGACCTATGAGAAGAGACAGGTAGCTGTGGTTGATGACAAGTTGAAGAAGCTTTGTGGCAAGTCCATCAACTTGGTGAAGATTGTTTGGGATGCAGCTACTGGTGAGGTTACCTAGGAGGTGGAGAGTCAGTTCAAAGAACAGTATCCATTCCTCTTTTCAGGTAAGCCTATTTTCGGGGACGAAAATTCCTATTTGTTGGGGGTATTGTAACGTAGAAAAAAAAAACCAATGTGGCTGATTTAGTAGCCCAAAACGGGCCGTTCCCAAACTAGAACGGGTCGTTCCAAACTACTAAATTGACCTGAAAACGTAGTTGAGAACGGGCCGTTCTGGAGGGAGAACGGGTCGTTCCAAATTCCAAAGCGGGCCGTTCTGGTTGGAGTACGGGCCGTTTTGGATGGAGAATGGGCCGTTCCAAATTCGGTACAGGCCGTTCTGGCCACTCCGAAATTTCTATAAATAGGGGTTGTGGGCCGTGAGGAGAATGTGAGTTTTTAAAGAGAAGTTTTAGAGAGAAGATCTCTAGGTCTGTGAGCTCCTTTCTCTCCTAAATTTCTCTGTATGATTCCTTTTCTCCTCTAGATCACTAATGCCTTCTGTCTTTCCTTGAAATTCAGATTAGGAAGCTTACTTTGGGAGGATTGAAGTTACGGGTTGAGCTTCGGTAGGGAATTCTACTTCTTCTCAGTTATTGGCTATTTTGAGTCAATCTTCAGGTGAGGGAAGCTAGAATGTTTGTTATTTAGGTTGCATGTGAGTTTAGAAACTCAATAGGTGCATGAATGTTGAGAATCCATAGATGGATTGAAGAAAATCTCTTTTTTTTGGGGTTTTGAGAAAAAGGAGGATTTTGATGCATAGGTTGGATGCATGTGAGATTTAAGTTTATTTTGAGTCGTATGGAGCCTATGCATTGTGTTTTGTGTTTGCATGTGACTGAATTTGTTAGTTTGGATGAGAGTTTAGAACTCTATGACTAGGATTTAGGCCAGGCCCAGGTTGAGAGCGCCAGGCGTGGAAGAGCTTAGGGCTCTCGGGCTGGATGTTGGGCCAGGCGTGATTTGGTTGCATCAGGCGTGGAGACTCTTAGAAGTCTCTGTCTCAAGGACACCGAGCGTGAGTTGAACGCGCCGGGTGTGGATGAGTTTTAGGACTCTCAAGTTGGGATTAGGCTGAGCGAGCTCAGGCTGCGCCGAGCGTGAATATGTTTATAAATAATTGATTTAAATTTATGCTTATGCATGTTTAAAGTTAAAATTTTAGATCATGTATGTATGATATATGATGTATAGTGCAGTGTGATTCATATGTATGCTTTGTGATGATACGTACGAATGTCTGAATATGGTATGACATGTGTATATGTTCATATGGGTATGTTTATTGATCATGATGGTGGTAGACCATGTATGATGTATGATGCATTATTGCATGTGATGCCTTGTGGCATGTGTATGATTGTTAATTATAATGGTGGGTAGACCATGTATGATGTATGATGCATAATTGCATGTGATGCCTTATAGCATGAGTCTAGCCTAGGACTTGAGGAGAGGAAAAATATTTTTGAACTGGAAGAGCTCACATAGAGTCTCTTGAGAGTGGTGCTTGGATAGGCCACTAATATGAGAGTGGTGCTCAGGGAGGCCACTGGATTTGGGAGAGTGGTGCTTAGATAGGCCACTAGGTTAGGTGAGTCTCCTCTAAGTCCTTAGCTAGTGTTGGAGCGGGGTATGAGAGGTCGAGGGTTATTCCCTTAACCAAATACTCGAGAAGGTGCGTGGATCTTTGCGGATAGTCGAGTGGGCGAACTCCACAATTGACTTGGTTATGCATGCCAAGGTCGTGGTAAGCTCGTACCCAGCTGTGTTATACCTGACGGTGGATCTGGACTTCCAATTGTGTAAGTGACATCATCCGAGTAAACCCGAGTGAGGATTATATCCTATTTAGCTGTGACCGAGCAGGCGCATTGGGCGTGAAAACTGTTGGGGTGGTTTCGGTAGGATGGAATGTCACTTATACAGCTCTATTGTTATGGAGATCTCCTAGGTGTATGCGTGACGACGCATTAGATGATTGATATGCATTGATATCTGTCATGAGATGCATTTATTGCATGATTATTAATATGATGAAGTGTGGTGTTTGACTTCATGATTGGTGGATTGTATTTTATGCATGAGTAGTATTGGATAGAGTGTATGGTGTGACTCTATGAATATGATTGATAGTTGGATGATGTGTAGTATAGATTTTATTCTGTACTTGTATGATTGGTTTTGAACTCTAGCTTACCCTTCTGTTTCCATGTGGTGGAACTGCGATGATCATACTTGGTATGAGAGCAGGTCAGGGCTAGCTTGGAGTTGAGGTGTCCGTTACGAGACGTGGAGTTTTGATCCTCGTGTTAGAGTTACCATTTTGGGTAACGGTTTTGTCTGTGCTTGACCGGCACTAGGGAATATTATTTTTGGGATGACTGTACATATATGGAGTTCTATTTTATAACCAGAAACTTAGTTATTTTCATTTTTATTTGTACATGTATGTATGAGTTATCCAGCTTAATATTTCTCTTAGTTTCACTAGCAGTAGTGCGATTTCACTAAGTGTAGAGACCATGGCGGGTCGTTACATTACTAGTGTTATTATAACTTTTCTCTCTCTCTCTCTCTCTCTCTCTATATATATATATATATATTAAATTTTATTACTAACTTTTGAAATAAAAATATCGAAACATAAATCGCATCACTTAAAAATCAATTTTAATCAAAAACAATTTTATTTAAAATCATTTTACAAATGCACACCCAAATATACAATTGAAAAGGATGGAGGAGAAAAATAAAAAAGATCTTGAATAATATTTTTTAATCAAGAAAAAATTGACAAACGATTAAACAACACATTATGCTGGAAATAAGTGGCAAGAGGAAAATAATATTTTGAAATGTCATGAAATGCTTCTTTTGTTTTTCTCTAATCTATCGAAGATTCAGTTATTTTCATAAAAATACATGAAACTAAATTTACAACATAACACGATGTACCATACATCGACTATAGAAATCTTTTTACCCTATATATAACTCTTTGAAGTTGAGCTTCCATAATCCATGGTTACTATTTCCACCAAATATCTTCTAGAAGCATTGAATTCATCCTATGAGTAGTAAGTCAAGTTCATGATTTGCTTCATTTGCCTAATCCCCTCTTCCTTTAAAGAGGTTTGTGAATATTCTAACTAACCATGTCCTAGGGGAACTCTAGAAGAAACAAAAAGAAAAAAACAAATGGGGTGAACATTTTTTACAACTATACCTTTATATTTGCTTTGTGTTTTTACTTATAGATCTCTAGTTTTGAGCCTCCTACACTACCCTACACAGTTTGTTATGTAGAATTAATCTGATTTCTGGTCTGCATCTGCTGTGGCTTGGACTTGAGCTGCATACTGCAAGTTCCATAGAACATCCTCAAAGGAGGGACGAATTGAAGATTCTGGAGATATGCATTTGGTTGTGATTGATATTGCAATTGATAATGACTCTTGAGAGCAAGTGGTTAACACTATAGGATCCACAATCTTTCTTCTACCATCTTGACTGCCAAAGGATGCCTGTGGTGAATTCACATAATTAAGGTCTTGTATTAAAAATTTAACCATTTATAATAAGTAAAAGGGTATAATATTTATTTAGTACCAACAAATATGCCAACTTTTATTTCAGTCCTTCCAAACATTTTGTTGATTTTGATTTTTAAAAACTTACAAAAGGAAATGAACATTTTCACACCAATGGAGGATAGAAAATGAAAGTATCCTAAAATATAAAAACTGATCAACTTACTGGTTTATATTTATGTAAGTTTAAAAGAAAGTGATTTTTGTGATAGTTATTTTAAGAAGTTACTATTTTTAACTTATCTAATAAAAATACAAAAGTAACTTTGTTTTTATATTTTGAATTTAATACACTTGCATTGATAGGTAAAAATTTTTAGACAGTGATGAACTGATAAAAAATTATCATTCATATGATAATTTGTAATTCAATGATAGTATAAGAAAACTTTCTAGTGTAAATATTATTTATTATTGATATTTTAGTTTTTTAACATTTATTATTATTATTTTATTATTATAAATTTTTAAAACATATTTCTAGATTAAAAATTACTTTTGTAAGGGGAAAACACCATCAAACTAACGTCCTTGCATGGCCCATTCAGATTTAGTTTGTGTTTGTTAAGGAGGGAAATAAATGAAAGAAAAAGAAGAAAAAAAATGAAAGAAGAAAAGTGTGAAGAAGTATATATTTTGTTTGGAAAGAGGGAAGTTGGTGAGAAAGGAAAGGAAGTGGGAAAAATTGAAAGAAGTCAAAAAGTAAAGTGTATTTGGTATTAAAAAAAAGTTGATATAATTTTATGTGGGTCACTGTTAAAAACTTCCCCTCTAATAAGAAATTAGATTTCTAACATGCATTTGACCTTGTGAGTATGTGAGTTTGGTTTATATGTATATATATATATATATATAACAACAAAATAAAAATAATAAATATAATGATAAAATAAATTTTATTTATTATTTTAAATGAATTATTTATATATTAAAATAAAAATGAAAAATATAATGATCAAAATAATTTATATTTATTATTTATAAATAAAATTATTTATAAAAAAATAAATATATTTAAAAATTATTTACTATTTTTGAATAAAATTATTTATAAAACATATATTTTTAAAAATAATATGATAATAATAGTAATTGATATTTATTTTTAAAATAAAATTATCAATAACAAATTAACTACTAAAAAAATTTTAAAAAAAATCTTAAGTGCTTGGAATCAGCACAATCAAAATGAATAAGAATGAGAATATTTTTTTAATATATTCAGCAGATCAACGTTTTTATTCATCCAAAAGCAAAAGCAAAACGCAAATGTTTAAAAAAAAAAATTACTAACCTTTTCATTTAGAAAAAATGTTTCGCCTTTGTCGCATGCTATTGGTCCAACAAGTGATTCAAACAATATGAATCCAAAATTATAGACATCGTCCTCCGCTTTTGTCCTCACGCTACAAGAGAATAAAGAACAACAATTTGTTCGTTATTGATACACACAAAATCATTTAAGCATAACAAAGGACATCACTAAGGGTATTCCATCTTTCATACCCTTGATTCATGGATCGAGAATGGTGAAAAAGAAATAAATAAGTCATGACAAAAAATTGGAACTAGTGGCAATGAGGAGTTAAGGGGCTTCAATAAACAAACACAAAACAAAGCATGGTTGTGTTGGTTATGCTAAAGTAACAAATAGTAGTCATTACTCATGGTCATGGGTGTCGTGTGTGATTCTTTTGATGCTATTACCAATTTATACTAGTGTTGTGAGTATGGCAATAAAATACTGGTAATAAAGAGTGCAATAGAGAAGTGGGGTGTGGGGTGTAGAGTGTAGTGTAGGAAGCAAGGTTTTTAAATTAGTTATGATCAAGGTTGTGAAGTCTTTCACAATCTTAATATTGCAAAAACTGTGGTTGGTGCTGCTATAACTGTGGTTGCAATGTAATTGGGAATACCTTCGAAATTTTAATATTGTGGTCACAATTGCAGTTTGAGGACCAAAATTTAAAATAAAATAAATAAAAAATAAAATAAAAAACATGGCAGGATAATTAGAAAGTAGGTACGGTGGAATATGTATTTAAAATCTTATAAAATATAAGATCTGTTAAGATAAACTCTCTAAAAACACTTTAAAAATAAAAAATAAAAAGAAAAAACAAAATTAATTTCCACACTCATAAGCTAAACTATATTTATGAAGTTAAAAGAAAATTTTTTGAAAAAACTAATATGATAGAGAAGTTAATTTCGTTTTCTCTACCTATTTTTTTTTTATATAAGTATTTTTGGAGAAGTTTATCTCTTATAAAAATAAAAAGATTGTTTATAATCCAATTGCAAGAGTAAAATGAGCTTTCGTATATCCTACCTTGATTTTGGCTTCTCACCCTTTGCCTGTACAACACAAATATGGTAACAGGGTCATTTAAATCAATCATCAATAATATAAGAACAAGGTAAAACTGGAATATTAGATTGCCAGAAACATACCTCAAAGTTTTCAATATCTTCTGTGATGATGGACATACCATAGTCACTTAGTTTTGGAATGCGGTGTTCATCAAGTAAGATATTTTTTGTCTTTAGTTGGTTACTAAAACAGCCAGGTATGACACCAGTATGTAAGAAATGCACTGCCTTAGCAACTCCAATTAAAATTGTCAATCTATCAGACCACTTAAGTGCCTTCTCTACAGAAAATTCTGCATGTTCGAATGAAGATTAGCGAATTAAACCCTTCAAGAAGAAAGACAAGATGTCCAAAAATAATTGTTGCTAGTTACAAAACCACTGACTATAGTAATAAAAAAAATATATGAAGAGGATGGACATGATAAAATCATCATAATGTCATGCATCACTTTACATCCCTCAGGAGGAGACACTGCTACATCATCAAGTCAAGCCTAAATAATAAAATGAAGTGTTAAATCAACATACTCCGGTGTCATCTTGGGTGGGTGATTTTGGTGTATGACATTATACAATAATCTCATGTGCTGTGTGAGTGTTGTAGCTCATGTTAATGGGATTGAGTACCCTTTGAACTCACCATTCTAGTAAATTGTGTTGCTTATAAAAAAATCAAGTCATAGTGTCATACTACTTTTGATGGCTTCTAATTTATCAAATTAATGTATGATCATTATTCAGCTGCAAACTTTATCCGTTTTTAAATGAAGAGGAAAATTTTTCCATGTTAATTGCATGTATGTTATCAACACACTCTTTAATACATTACTCTTAACACACTTACAATTTATTAAAATTTTAAAACCATGAGAGATTCATTAAATAGGACCGGGATTTACAAAATTTTATAATTTTTAATAAATTTCAACAAAAAGAAAGTGAATGTGTTCAAAAGTACGTGTCAAAAACCTAACATTTTTCTTATTGGAGACACCTTTCTTTCTTCAACAGGAACTAATTTCCACAAATTTAACCTAGACTAATTTATGCAGACACATCCCGATTGAGGTCTTCTTTATATTTAGTTTCAATATTGCTGACGTTAAAAGGCAGAAATGATTCATGAAGCCAAATAGATAAAAGAGGGAACTAATTGATGAAACTTGTCCACAAAATAATATGCATTCTATTATTACATTATGCCATACTAACCTGACAGATGGGTACGATAATTCCCATTTGGCACATACTCATATACAAGATGAAGTTTGTGAGAATTGGAATCATCAAGTCCACCACCTTCAATACAATGGCCCAAAAGGCTCACCAAATTTGGATGTTGAAGCTTTGAGAGTAAATCCAATTTGGCTTTAAGATTTTGTATTGAGCATTTCTTTGACAGAGCCAGAGAACGTATCGCCACATAGGATCCATTCTCTAGTTTACCTTTGTACAGCTGCGATATGGTAGAAGACTTAAAAGAGGCATTTACAGTGAGCATACAAAATAAGTTTGACAAAGCTTTCCTATGACTACATATACAAATTTTGAATCACTTGACCTTCTAACAAGGAGTAAATGCCAAAAACACAGTTACTTTCTATTTGGGCATATGAAAATAGTGAAATCTTGACAAGGATTTCAGAAATTTCAACCTGTCAGAAAACTCGAGTGATTTTGGTATGTAGTTACTTGGAAATTATCAGATTCAGAGGTAAACCCTTTTCTTACAGTCAGTTTCCTAGTTCTGTACTGTTTCGGTTAAAAGCATTTAAATATGTCAAAAAGAAAAAGAAAACCCTTCATTCTGAAGAATAATCACTTATGAATATTTGAAAGCTATAAATTATCCAATCTTATCTCCTTAAGATAACTTGGTAGAAATGTACCATCCACCTCAGTGGTATATCCTCCATTAAACCAAGAAAATAAACTATCCAATAATTCAAACATTTTGAGTGATTGAAGGGTACCTTTCCTATGGAGCCTTTACCAATATAACTTGACAAATCAAAGTTTCTGGTGGCTTCCTTCAATTCTTCTATCGAAAATTGTCGACAGGTCAGAGTAGTTTGTGTCCCTAGCTTCACTGTTTGAGAAATGAATCCTGAAAACAATTGGAAACAAGACATTACTATGTTAGAAAACTGCACACTGTATCAAAATCTGAATTAACAACACACCAACTATGGCCTAAGTAACCTATAATATATACTCACTGGCATTTGCAAGGATCTCAGATGAAACCCCAGTTGAGGTCCTTGAGGAGTTATCTTGAACAATCTTTAGATCCTTCCCGGTAATCTTTCTGGGGCGACATTTTTTCCATAAGAATACTCCAGACACCAAAAGCACAAGAACAAATCCAACAATAATGGTCGTTACTACAACTACTAACCATGTCTTAAAGCTCTTCCATCCAGAGCTAGATTTTTTACAATAAGACCCTCTATGCTGGTTCTGAGTATCAACAGATAAACAGTTTCCAGCATATCTAACAACTCTACTATCAGAAGTATTGGCCAAGCAAGAAGGAAGTCCACCACTTAACTTGTTACCAGAAATGTCCACAAACCCAAGTTTACTCCCACAATTAAGTTTTCCTGGGAGGGTCCCACTAAGCACATTGCTTGCCAGATTCAAATAACTTATTTTAGGCAGAGAAAACAAGGTAGATGGGGGTGTCTCACTGAGATGATTTGAAGAAAGATCTAGATGTTGAAGCTGATCCAGTTCACCAAACTGCTTAGGTATCTCTCCTGAGAATGAGTTATTGCTAAGAAGAACTGTGATCACTGATTTAGGCAACAATGGTAGTTCAGATTCTAATTGGTTTTCTCTTATATCCAGCAGATGTAGGCCAGCGAGAGAACTGAGACCAGGCAATTCCCCAGACAACTCATTGTGTGACAAGGAAACAACTTCAAGTGTCTCAATTTTGCAAAGTGAGGAGGGGAATGAACCCTTTAAGCCATTGCTCTTCACACTCAGGATGTTTAGATTAGACAATGAATCAAACCAATCAGGCATAGTGGTGTTAAAATAATTGTCATCAAGTGTCAGTGCTTGAAGCTTTACCATGGTGGACATTTTTGGTGGGATGGCTCCAAATAAGAAATTACAGCTCAAGTCTAAAACTTCAAGCAAAGAGAAACGGTGAATCTTCTCAGGGAGTGGCCCCCAAATCCCCAAGGACACCAAGCTAAGAACCCTTATGCTGGTCAACCTTGTCAAAGTGGTGAAAAATGAATCAACGGAGAAATTCATGGACAGGGTCTGATTAGGAACTGCAAATCCATTGAACCGTGATGGCTTCTCAGACTTTTCACCCATAATTTTAAGCTCAGTTACCTCATCACCTTCGCATTTAATACTCAAGTTTGCAGAGGGAGGAAGGCTGCATAGGTCCCCATTGTAATTCTCCCAAATTTGCAAAGAAGAGGGGTACTCTAGATAAACTCTTAACTGCAACAAGGCTTCAGTCTGAGATGCTTCTAATTCATAAGTGTTTGGTATGAACAAAAACAATGAAAGAACAACAAGATAAAGGTAACAAAAACGTCTCATTGAACCACCTCGGAACATCATGCACCAAATTTGATGAATATGTCAAAGGACTCAAAACAATTCCTTCACACTTCAAAGATTTCAAAATTAGACTACCCTACCCAGAAGGAAATTTTGTTCTAACAAACAAGGCTATAAATTGCAGTCGCGATTTCGTCACAATCCTTGATATGGTAGAAAATTGCAAACAAAGGCGATTAATGCGACCACAATTGCGACACTTGACACCCTAAAAAACTTAACTTTGTAGGGAAAA